CATTCTCCTCCTCCTCCTCCACTTTCCGCGAGTCCCGCTCCTTCCGGGACTTTGAGTCCTTCCCCCTGCTTGGGGACAAGCTTCCCAACAAAACAAAGAGAATTAAGACACAGCCCCAGTGTCACCTTGTCCCCACCAACCAGAGGAATCTTGCTGTCACACAGGACACTTCCTACAGGGAACAGCCCTGGTGTACTTATGGGAGAGCAGAGACACCCCAAAAAGAGAGCGGGCTCACCTCGATCGCTTTCTGTCCTTGTCCCGCCGGTGCCCATCCTTCTCCCGGTCCCGGTCCTTCTTGTTACGGTCCCGGTCACGCTCTTTGTGCCGGCGGTCCCTGTGGAGCAGGGCAGTTATGGCACAGCCCCAGCCCAACCACCAGCACCCACCCCTTTGTGGGGCCATTCTAGACATGCAAGAGTGAGCGCTCTCTTCCCTAAATAGCTGGGGAGCCCCTGTAACACCCCTCACCTCTCTGTTGACTTGGACCGGGAACGGGACCGTGACCGGCTGCCTCGTCTCCCGTCCCCGGCGCGATGCCGCTTCCTGTCCTTGGAGGGGGAAGCCTTGCGGTCCCGATCCCGATCCCGGTCCCGATCCCGGTCCCTGTCTGGGGAGCGGGAGCGCTTCCTCTCCTCCTTGGCAGGGGATGCGTCCCGGTCCTTCTTGTCCGCCAGTTCTCCGGCCATCTGCAATGGAAAGGTCAGACAGAGTGGGCGACTGGGGGGGACGACCACAGGAGGGAGTAGGGAGGGCTGAGGGACCCAGGGGTCGCAGGGGCACCCGGGGAGGGCTGGGATGCAGAGAGACCCCGGGATGGGGCGAGAAGGACTGGGGAACAACGAGGAGGCGCGTAGGGGGACCCGAGGAGAGCGCCGGAGGGGCGATCTGTGGATACCCGGGGAGGGTGCGGGGAAGTCTGGGGGATCCGGAGAAGGCGCCGAGGGGGCTGTAGAGACTTGGGGAAGGAGCGGGGAGGACTGCAGGACCCGGAGGACCGAGGATGCAGGCCCTGCCCGGCGTGCAGCCCGGTGACGCGGCAGCGCGGTCCTCCAGCC